AGTGGACATGTGATATCAGACCAGAGCAGGAGACTCCGATTGCTCCCGTTTGAGTTTCATTTCCTTTGCTTCTGGTACATTTGCATGCCAAGGGATTCCATTTTGCTTTATCTAGGGCAATAGGAATGCATTGAGGATCGATGAGACCACCTCAGATTTGAGACAACCTCGTGAGGCTAGGATGTGTATATCGGTGAATTTGGGGCTTAAGTTGCCCAATAGAGTATGGATTGAGCACGATGGTAACCGCGCTTTTGGTAGGCAGTCATCTATGAGAAGCGACCGACATTTTGTTTTTCTTATAAACACTTTGGCCATCCATCTGATCGTGTACTTTGAGCGTACCACCACTACCATCTCCTCCAGTTGTTGTGCCTCCACCAGTTCAGCCCCTTCCTTCTACTAAGATTGGCACTAATATGGCTGAGAAGGGCAAAGGAAATGTTACTTTCGATGAGCCAAGGAAGCGATGGGTACTAGTTTCGGTAGTGCCTCATATGCTTCACACTATCCCTATTGCAATTGTGGTAGAGCCAGCTACTGCATCGACAGATCATACCTCGATTCCCACCACAAGTACTATAGGGGTAACACTAGTTGTTCTCCTAGTCATAGAGTCTACTCCAAAGATCCCTCCCCTCGTCCATGAGAACACCCCAGGGATTCCTATTCAGACTCAGACAGTTGCATCCTTAGTGGTTGAGGATATGACAGAGATAGCACCTATTGATCAACCACTTGCTGAGCCTATTCCAGAGGCTCTTATTGAAACCGATTCCCAAGTCTCTCATTCACCACAGATGTCAGATACTGATGGTACATTGAGTGGGCTGAAGGCTAAGCCTTTGGGAAAGCAAATGTTGATCAACCACTTCAAGAAGACCCATGGCATCAAGATGGGAGCTTCCATGAGAGATGCTATTGATGACCTAGTTGACAAGCTCTTCAACGACAGATCATCACGCCTAGATAGGATATGGTGGAAGCTCAAATTCAGAGTGACATATTGGCGTGGGTCTCGGAGATTGCGAAAAGAATAATAATGCAGTTGTACCTTCAGTCAGGAGTCACTCTCACATGCATTAGATATTGCAACACTTGTGAAGATCACCATGAGATCAGATGTACCTACTTTTTGCCCGACATTCAGTATGCCATCGCGTGGATAGCAATTTTCACCTAGACAGGCCCCTTCCCCCAGGAGGGACCCCTCTCCAGTAAACGAGCCCGATTACGCAAATTATTATGACCCGAAAATGTTTCAGACCAGACGCATGACCCAGTCAATGTCAATGTACTGCCACCCGAATATTTATCCTTGGGAGTACCTTTGAGTAATCTTCATTAATTTTGGTTCATGTTTCATTTATTGTCATTTGCATTTCATTTGAGACATTTGTAATTTTTTTCACTTACTGGAGGTCAGGTCTATGCCCCTTCTTTTATGTCTATTCTCATTTTTTATATTATAAAATAAGCCACACTAATGGTATTTGCTTAAAAATAAATAAATAAATAAAGGTATGGTTAACATGGGTGCTGTAATCAATCTTCGCTTTAACTCCTGATAACTTTGCTCACGTTTATATGTCCATTGAAATTTTACTCATTTTCTTGTCAATTATGTCATGGGTTTAGTTATTTTGGAGAATCCTTCGATAAATCTTCGATAATACTCGACTAATCCCAAAAAACTTCGAACTTCACCGGCATTAGTCGGTGTTTTCCAATTTGTTACCGCTTTCACTTTTACTGGATCTATTGTAATTCATTAGGCAATAACTACATGACTAAGGAATCCAAATCCCTCAAGCCAAAACTTTCACTTTTTAATTTTGGCTTACAATTTTTCCTTACACTGTATTTCTAATGCTATTATAAGATGTTCCTCATGTTGATCTTTACTCTTGAAGTATATTAAAATGTTATCAATGAAGACAAACTGATCCAAATATTGATGAAACACGTTATTCATTAAATCCATGAATACTACTGGAGCATTAGTCAAACCAAACGACATAACAATGAAATCGTAATGTCCATAATGAATTTTGAAACCCTTTTTGGGTCTATCACTTGCCTTATCCTTCAATGGATGATATCCAGATCGTAAGTCGATCTTGGAAAATATCTTAACCCCTTTTAATTGATCAAACAAATCCTCAATCTCGAGAGGGAATATTCTTGATGGTCAAATGGTTCAACTCCTGATAGTCGATACACATTCTTATACTTCCATCTTTCTTCTTTACAAACAACACTAGTGCGCTCCATGGAGATACAATTGGTCGAATAAAGCCACTGTCTAACAATTCTTGTAACTAAATTTTCAACTCCTGAAGTTCCTTTGGAGCCATTCTACACGAAGCTTTAGATATTAATGCCACTCCGTGTGCTAGATCTATTGTGAACTTCACCTATCTATCTAGTGGAATACCAGGTAGATATTTTGGAAACACATCTATAAATTTTTGTACACTGGTACATCTTCAATATTTATCATTGCCTGTTTTTCTCCTGAGATATTAACTAGAAACCCTTGATATGTTTCTTTTCTCAACATTTTCTCCCCTTGATATGTTTCTTTTCTCAAAATTGCTCTTCTCCTTGTTTCTGAAAAACACTTCCCTTTTTCTACAATGATTGGTTGCATAATTACATCCCAATCAATCCATGCCCAAAATCACAGCAAGGTCTTTCATATATATATCAGATACAAATTAGCTTCTAATGTTTTTCCCTCAATTTCAAGATTCACCGACCAAGCTATCTTATTTGTATTTAATGTTCTGCCTGAGGGATGCCTACTTCTAGTGTACTCTTTGACTTATCATAAGTGATACTAGATTTAGCAATGAAAGATGTTACAAAAGAATGAGTAGATTTTGAATGAAATAGTACATAAGCAGGTATATGCATTATTATGTTTGAGTTCTCCTCTATATCCTTCTGAGTTAGTGTAAAAACTTGTGCTTTTCCCTTTTTTGTTCTGATAACTGTTATCATCTTTTTTCTGAGTAAGTATGACAATCCTTAGCAATATGTACCGGCTGACCACACCGAAAATAGACATTCTTCCCATACAAGCATTCACCACAATGAGATTTATCATACTCCAATGATTTTGTCAAAAAATTTCAAGTAACGATTGGGCTACGATTTCTAAAATAGCAATACTAAATCTCATTGCTCATATTTTTGTGATGAACGGTAACTTCTAAGTTAATTTCTATAAAACGTAACTACTTTTGAACATAAATAACTCGTAAAAATCTTCTTAAATTGTCACAAATAATGTTCATCTAAATGTTTCATAATCGAATAAAAACTTTAAGTCACCGGCTTCTCCATAGCACCTTGCAACTTCATCTATCATCATCTACACCCCAAGCAAATCAAATCAACTTGTAAGTAGGAAATTAATCCACGAGTGTGAAACTCAGTAGATATCATTGGTACATTTCGTTATCAAATTAGAAAATTTGAGCTATAGATTCATAGCATGTTGATCGATTTACGTCAAAATTCAATTTCTATAGAATTATCATAACATGTAGAGCTGAAGAATGATCATTAACCCCCGTTTGAGCCCCATTATTTCTCATTACATTAAATTAAAATTTTCTCTCTCTTACTTTTAACCACACAATCTCAATAAAATAATATTACACGTAAATCAAAAACTTTTCAACCACTCATTTTTCAAATAAGACACTATTTAAAACATTATAATGAGAAATAATGAGGCTCAAACGGGGGCTAAGCCTCCATTTAGCCCCCATTATTTGAAAATGAAAATGGGTGGAATAGTGTTTCTTTGAAAAATAAAGTGGTTAAAAAAAGGAAAAAATTTCAATTTATGTGTAATATTTTTTTATGAAAAATTGTGTGGTTGAAAACAGGAGAGAGAAAAATGAAATGTAATGGAATAAAATTTAATGGGGGCCAAATGGTGTCTAAAACTATAGTAGTGTCAAAACACTATACATGAAGGTACCAATTCACTCATAATTTTAACAAAAAATCATATCTTGAGAAAATGAAATAATCACTTGCACCTCTACCTACCTCGATTTTTCTTCAAGTATGAAAGACAAAATGTGTAAAAGCCTTTCTCCTTCAAACCATTGCTACTGCTTTGAGCTTAACTTAACAGAAAATGTATTTTTGAGAGCCAATAAAAGTAAATCCAGATTGGAGGAGAGGTATAATGAAAAAGTGACTTTCCTCTTCTTCTAACCTCCATTTTTAGTAATAAAAAAAAACTAAATGGGGGAGTAATATTATCAACATTGTTAAATTGGATCTTTAACTAGAAATTTAAAGAGTATTAAGCCATAAAAATAATTTTTATAAAAAGTTTAGGAAACATTTAAAAAATAGAGAAAAATAAACCATTTATATGATTTGTAACTAATCTCTATGAATGCCCCCACTAATAAAACAATTATTTCATCTAATTAACTTGCTATAATTGTGCTTAATGTGAAAAATGACGAGTTTATAACTCAAAAATAATTATAAAATTTTTTTATGAAAACATCTATATGATGATTCGAGCCTTAGTTGTCTTTGTGAAATAACATGCAAATGACTATTGTCGCAACCCAATTATTCATTAAATCTTTGTACTCAAATTTACTTAAATTTAATCTTTAAATTGTTGGGTTTTCAATAACGTATGGTGTGGGCTTTCATCACCTTAATTGGATGAGCTTCCATGGCTGGTTCTTAAATGGGCTACATCAACCAACTTAAGAAATTGTATCAATGGGAATGGGAGATAATTTGACAAACAAAAGGTCAAGTTCCTATGTGAGGAGCTAGGAATTAAAAAACATCTTCAATACTCCACCACCTTCAAGTATATGGCCAGGTTGAAACCATCAGCAAATTCATCGAGTACATTTTGAAAAGGAAGCTTGAAGCCTCCCAAAAGGGCATAGGTTGACCAGCCTCCCCAAGTGTTGTGGCCCATTCGTACAACTAGCAAAACTGCCATGGGAGAAACACATTTCTCTATGGCCTGTGAAACTGAAGCCATGAGCCTTGTTGAGGTAAAACTTCCCCCACCTTATTTCTTTGCAATGCAACGAAGTATCGTACAATGAATTGAGGTAATGCAAACTTGACTTTCTTGAAGAAATGATGGATAAATTACAAACCAAGTTTGTCTCTTACCAGTGAAAGATGACCACCACTATAATGCTAAGGTAAAAAAAAGTCATTCTGCATAGACGATCTAATGTTAAGAAATGTTTTTCTCTCATCAAAAGAACTATGCATAAGTACATCATGCCCCAATTGGGAGGACCCTTATCGTATTGTAGAGTAACTATGAACTGGCACTTACAATTGAAGAACTAGATGAAAAGGCACAGCCTCATCCATGGAACATAGAGCACTTGAGAAGATTTATCAATGAGTAAGACTCAACATTTCAGTTGGACGATCTCTCCTAGCGAGTACATACGTCTTATTGAATGTAACAAGATTTAGTACCAAATATTGCCGCTTCATCTACTTCAAATGGTAAGGTGCAAGATATCCCCACAAAGGTCACTTCGAATTTAAGATAATGCCTTCCATGGATGAACCATCTACCATTGAAGACAATCCCACAGGGGTTATCTTGAATTTCTTCAATGATGATGCCTTTCAAGGTCATACCATCTACCAGGGAAGAGGCATTTGACGAGGTTGAGTCAGTCCCATGCAAGGATGTCCACTTCAAATGGTAAGGTGTGAGGCTTCTCATAGGGTACACCTCGAATTCCTTCAAAGATGATGACAACATGGGAAATATTTTTCATATTTTTATTTTAATGTCCAAAGTGATATGATTCAGTTGAATACAATCCATTTAATCTAACCTATTCAAGGTAAGTAGTCAACGGACATCAGAGGCGCTAGCACTTATTTAATTTTACTGTTATAGAAATTCTGCTAATGACATTTTAAAATGAATTAACATAAAAAAAATGTAATAGCAAATTGAGGTTAGTTCATTAATAAGGGATAGAAGTGTAATTAAATAGTTACAAAGTGACATTACCAGTAATGTCAAAATAAGCATGCATAAATGAGAAGCAAAACAACTAAAACTTGAAAGAAAATCAATGATTTCCATTAATTGAAGATTACAAAAGAAGAGGTTAAAGCGATTACATTGGAAGTTAAAACTAAGGGTTGGCTACTACTATAGCTCCTGGCCGGATTCCTTCTTCTTTCTTCTGGTTCACCTCGCTTCAAAGACCATCCTGCAAAGGCTCTTCAGCTTCTTCCAAATCTATTCGGCCCCTAACTCATCCACGACGAACTTAATATCTATGTCGTGGTACACCTCCCTTAGGCGATTTATAATCCCTTATACGCTGGAACAAAGCCCAAAAGTTGGCAAAGTTGTCATACTTCAATGTATTATCAAAGTTGTCAATATAATTTTGGACTGCAATTTTGCCAGCCATCTTCGTTTCAGTCTTCAAGGATTCTATCATATCTCTTTTTAGGCTTAAATTAGGTGCAGAAGCTCTACCATCTCCTTGTTTGAAACATCCAAGACCTCGAAAGCGAGGCGTTGGTGCTCATTTGATCGATCAATCCTCTTTGTCAGAGCCACAAACTAAGATTCATATTCAAGAAGTTAATTTCTCAAGCGATTGACTTGGACTTCAGCAGTGTCCAACTTTACCTAAGCTGTTGTCCTCCTCACATCAGTCTCCTTCGCCTTGGCTTTGGCATTTTTCACCTCCTCAAAATGTGGAGAAGTCTCCAATCATTGGCTTAAATCACCATTTTTTCTATGAAGGCTCGTCTTCAGCAACCATGCTTGTACTTAAAGCTCATGCGATACAGGCGTTGTTTGTAGCCTGTAGGTCTTCAACTTCACACGACGTGATGTGATCTTGCCACTCCTCGTGTAGAAGCCCGAGAAATAAAATAAAATTAGGCTATTATATTGTGATGATCAAGCACCACAAGCTTAGCCCATTTAAGAAATGAGATATGGAAGCTCAACCCATTTAAGATTATGAAAGCTCAAGCCATAAGTTAATTAAAAGCCCAACAATTTAAGAGATTAAGTTTAAGTAAATTTGATTACAAAGATTTATTGAATAACTGGGTTGCCTCAATGATCGTCTACTTGATATTTTATATAGGCAACCCAGGTTCAAATCACCATGTATATATTTTTATAAAACTTTATATATGAATTATTTTTTGGAAAATACTATGTGTACATAATAGTGTACACATAGCATTACACCCCCCTCACATGGAGAGGCGTCCACATACAATAAAATATTCGTGGGTCTCCCTTCATGTGAGAGGGGTGTAATGTATAGTGTACACCAAGAGGTGTACACAGAGCATTTCCTTATTTTTTATGGCTTATAAACTCTTCAAATTCTTAGCTAACGACCAAATTTAACAAATTTAATGATAATATAACTCCCCTATTTATTATTATTAAAAAGGAAGGTTACAAAAAGAGGAATGTCACTTTTTCACTACACCCCTCCTCAAATCTTAATTTACTCTTATTTTCTCTCAAAAAATATATTTCATGTCAAGTTAAGCTTAAGGAAATAACAAGGATGAGAAGGAGAAGGCTTAATATACATTTTGTTCTTTTATATCCAAGAAAATTCAAGGTAGGTAGGTGCAAATGTTTATTTCGTTTTCAAATTATGATTTTTCGATAAATGTTTGAATGAAATGGTACCTCCAAGTACAGTGCTTCTGCACTACAATAGTTTGAAAGATTATTCTCATGCTCTACGCATTATGATAATGTTATAGTAATTGAACTTTGCCAGAAATCCATCTATGTGCAACGGTATAAATCTATAGTTCGAAATTTCTAATTTGATAACGAAATGCATCGATAATACCTATTGAGTTTCAAACTCATAGGTTAATTACTTTCCTACAAGCTGAATGGATTTTCTTGGGGCGTGGAAGATGGTAGAGGATGATGCAATATGCTATGGAGGAAGCCGGTGATTTAATAATTTTAATTCGATCATGAAATGTTTTTGTTTGTTTCTTTTTATATGGATTTCTATGGAGGTCATATGTGGAGCCATTCTAAGAATATTTCTTCACGAATAAGTTGTATTTAAAAGTAGATATGTATTATAGAGGTTAATTTACAAAACATCATTTACAAAGCGAAAGGAAAAAAAGAAGTGTTAGCAAAATTAAAGTATTGCCGTCTTTTAAAAATTTTAGTTTCTGTCTTGACTTTAAAAATTCATGGTCACTCGTTACTTGGAATTTTTAGACAAAACCAATGGCGCTGGATAACCACATAGGTTAGCTACTAAATAAACTTGGAATTGTGTTAATTCAATATCGATAGAATTTTATATGTCACTTAAGGTAAATTGCACTAGCTAGTTTTGTTATTTTCTAGTTTTTGCCTTGATCTAAAAAAATCATAACTCGACCGTTACTTAGAACTTCTAGATGAAACCAATTGGATTTGATAGTCTCATGGATTAGCTACTGAATAAATGTGAAATCATGTGGTTTTGATGTCTGTGAAATTTTATATGTCATTTTAAGTGAACTGCACCGGTTTACCTTTCAACTGGATCACTGCTGGGTTTTGAAAAATATTTTAATATCTCATATGATGCCGATGAAGCTAATTTTTGACTATGTCATATTATAAGTGATTTCCTACTTTATATTAAAATTTAATGAAGTTTCAAGGTCGATAGCTGCGCAAATGAATTTATTTTAACACTTATCCTACGAGATAGAAAAAGAAAACAACTTGAGTTAGTGTTAGTGGGATTTTGAGATATATTTTAACGCCTCATCCGTCACCGACGGAAACCAATTTTGGCTATGTCAAATTATAAGATGTTCCCTACTTTTCCTTAAAATTTTATGAAATTTTGACATTGATAACTATGCAAACGAGTTTATTTTAAATTACCGTGCGAAAATCGGAAATCAAAACAGATTACTCTTTTTCTTACTTCCTAAACTAGTTCAAAAATGGAAAACTATCATACCTTTATTTGTTTGGCAGATATGTACTTGCCACTATTCAAGTAATAAAATAGACATATGCATGTATTTGCTCGACTCTTTTCTTCTCTAATGAATGCCTTTATGGAATTATGTTAATATTATGTTACTATCTAAAAGTAGATTTTAATGGGAAATACATTGGTAGTTTTTAGCTTAAATTCTTAAATTAAATTATTGTTTTAAATAATTTCTAAGTCTAAAGCTAATGTACAATTGTTTGGGTGATGCTCTCATACCAATGGGTCGGGGCATTACACCTTAGTGTAATATTTGTTGTGGACTTTGATAGCAGAAGCAATTTCAGAAAGTAGCATCTCTAACACAGCCTTGGACATCTCTTCATCCTTGCTCTCCGAAAATTCGATGACTTTTCACTTCGAGGAGGATGAGCTAGTTTTTTTTGCCTCGAGAGGTACAAAAAGGAGCTGGGGATCAATTTGAGAAGCATCCAAGGATGGAGGAGGATAGTGCCTTTTCTTATTCGAGACCTTGTTCACATGAGGTAAAGGCTGGGATGGTCTTTTCCTTAAAATGATATGAGTAGGGATTTGAGTGGAAAGTGGGGACTTGGTCATTATTGGCCCGAATGATGATGCCCCAGGTCGTCTAATTTTATTTTTTATTAATTGAGGAGCTTTCTCTTCATGCTCCTCATCACAAACAGGGGAGCTTTACCTAGCTGGACCAGTTGGTCATTTTAGCTTTTGCAGGCCATCGAACTGGATTTGATTGTCTAGCAACAACAGCGCTCTGATGGATGGTCGTGAAATCCAACCTCTAAGGTTTCTTACTAGCAAAATTATTTATAAAGTTACGAAGTAATAGCACCTCGACAACAAGTACTGTTAAGATTGAAGTGGTCACCTTGCACTTTGCAACGACATCAGCTCATGGTTAGTGAAGGAGATATTTTTGTTTATCAGTTCGAAGAGACCCTGTTATCTGAAGCTAGGTTGATAGACGTCACGGATGTTGTCAAATTGTTCCCAGTGAATTTGCTTCTCAATAATAAATCTGTAGAATTCCAAATGGGATCATGTATTGTAAAACTCACTTACAACGTAAAATGGGTTAGGAATGTTAGGCCTTCTCATCAGGTTCAGGAAGAAGAAGTTCAATGCTATCATACCCTGCAAATCTCCCTACACTTAGCTTTCTAAGGTCACACTCGATGGATAGTCCAAGGCCTCCCACTTCTTCAAATTTTCAATAGTTCTAGAAAACAACCTCCAAATGTTCTTCTTAGACATAATACACTGACCAATCTGATTAGAAGAGATAATGGAGCTCTCTCAGTTCGAAACTACTTATGCTAGGCCCTTATCCCTTAGACAAAATCAGAAGGAGAAGTTATAGATGTCTTAATAAGTACTGAAAGAGAGAAATTGGTAGAATGTTACCCAAAGGATAGTTTTTCTAGTTCAACTGGCTATCAAAATTAATGGAACCCATAGCAAACAATGAACATCACCAAAAATGCAAGAATATAATTGTAAAATGGAAATGGCAACTTGTAATATGATTACAATTTTTGCATAGTAAAAAGTTTGCAAAATATTGCACCTCTCATAGCTAGAGGCAATCATCTGAACCTTTGATCGAATCAAGGCTCATCTAGGTAGTCTATTCCTCACCTCATCTGGAACGTTGAAACGAAAAGCCAAACATAATTTAAGGGCATGGATGAGG